TAATGCCCGCTCGGGGCCGTCAGGGGTGGTATTTGTCCTTTTACCCCGTCCGTAAGGGGTTTTTGTTCTACCTGATTCCTTTGAAGCCTTCCTTTCTCGGCGGTTCCACCGCCAATTACGCTTCTTGTTTTCTTCTGAAAACAGATCAAAAATATATATAATGAATGTATCGTAGTTATTACTTATTTATAAATAATTTTTACTTACTCTCGGCTGCCTGCCCTCCGCCACTGATGGGCTTTAGTGTTTGAGGTCTTGCCGCTGAAGTACTCGCCCCGGCTCTAGAATCTCTGCAGGCAATAAAAAAATGATCATGAAAGCTATATTCCTTATAAATTGTAGTTTCAAACTTATGTCAACTCGCTATGCCCCACGAGGGCAGCCAGCTTCTCCACCTCACACTCAAACGTCGTCTCATCTTTTTTTTCAGCCTGCGAAAAACAACAAAGTTTATTTATTATTATATCATTAGATGTCGTTCGACATTATTATGTGCTACGCAAAAGAAAGAAGGCTTACCATGTTTTCTGTCATTATGAAAAAGGCAGAATGAAGATCGGGTAGCGAGTACGGGAATGATGTTGGCGTAGTAGGCAGTGACAGGCTAGGCGATGCGCGGTGGTAGGTGGAGAGATGTTAAAATACATATATATGTAATATATGAATAAAAAATAAAAGTAAGAAGTTATGCATTTGTCCCGTTTCGCCACAGGCATGGGGCTGAACGGGACACTTACTGAGACGAGACGGGACACTCGAAATAATGATTGTTTTTGACAAAACAAAAACTATTTTCCTTTTGTTTACCAATTAATATCGTTTATAATTTTTTATAAATAAGAAGTAGTTTTCTCCGTCTTATTGCAATACAATTTTATGCAATACAATAATCTAATGGCAAGATTCTTTAATTCTTCCGACCAAGCCTGTCGGTCGGTAGTTTGCTTGTATTTTCGAACTATTTATTTATACTTTTTATATTATACTTAACAATTCAATATGGCTTTTATATACCTTCCACAGTCACTCTTATGCGTCAGCAGCCCAGCAGCAAACCCGGCAGTAATTTCTTCAATGTTTTCCATTTCGATTGAAGGCTTTTGGAAAATATTTCTGTGATATTATTTTATATGGCGGCTCGACCATTTCTGAGATTTCCTGGTGATGAGAAATTTAAAATGCTCTCTTACGTTGTAGGTGACGAGCGGCTGAAAATGTTGGCGCCATCCACTCTTCGAAGTAGTGGATTATGCGAGGAACATTTCGAACCGAGCTGTTTTATAGGCGAAAATCGGCGTCTGTCTTGCGACGCGGTTCCCAAAGCCTTCGTCCGAACGATTCACCTTTCGATGGAAACGACGGAGATCTAAGAAGCACCCCTGGCATTGGAAGGATGCGCAGCGGTAAGTACCTTCGCGGCTATCGAACCGTTGCATTCGGTCGAATCGCATTTATCAATGGGCAATAAATCCGCTCAAGGACCAAATTGTACTCCGTCCACGTCATCGGTAGATATCTTAATTGGTACATACATCCATAAGCACCGCCGCAAACCCGAAGTTTTTAGTTTCAGAGCATGTCCGTGCATATAAAAGAGTAGCGTTGGACTTTTGCGAATCGGATGACGAAGAGTGTGCATGGAGAAACATCGAAAAGAGTGCCCAGTCGACTACCCCTACTTTCGAACCACCTACCCCAGAGACTGTACAAAGAATGACTGACAGTCTTCATAAACAGATAGGATATCTGAAGAAGTGTAATGCGGCGCTGAAACGTAAAAATTTGGTGTACCAAAATACGGTCCGTGTACTTCGGCAGAAGTTAAAGCGATCGTGGTTAAAAAACGGGCACCTCGCAAGGAAGGCAAAACAAGGGTCTGTTGACGACTTCCTCGATCGCCACAAATGCACGGAACCTGCAGCGCGAACGATGGTGAAATTGCAGTTGCATCGCAATAGGGCTCCTTACTCGGAGGAGGAAAAAGACCTTGCGAAGCAGCTGTATTACTACTCTGCATCGG